GGGCCAGGATGAGGAGAGGGGGCCAGGATGAGGAGAGAGAGGGCCCCGGGGCCAGGATGAGGAGAGAGGGGGCCCCGGGGCCAGGATGAGGAGAGAGGGGGCCCCGGGGCCAGGATGAGGAGAGAGGGGGCCCCGGGGCCAGGATGAGGAGAGAGGGGCCCTGGGGCCAGGATGAGGAGAGAGGGGGCCAGGATGAGGAGAGGGGGCCCCGGGGTCAGGATGAGGATAGAGGGGGCCCCGGGGCCAGGATGAGGAGAGAGGGGGCCCGGGGCCGGGATTAGGAGAGAGGGGGCCCCGGGGCCAGGATGAGGAGAGGGGGCCCCGGGGCCAGGATGAGGACACACTATTTGTTGCTGAGTGACACTGACCAGCTGGAGGCCTGGGATTGGCTGGAGAACGGGTCCATGGTGTCGGTGCTGGAGGCGGCAGGCGGCTCTTCGGTGATGAGGGAGAAGTCGCTGCTCAGGCTGGTGATGCTGCCGCGGTCCCTGGACCCTGAAAACAGCCAGAAGGGCCTCAGTGACACCAGCAGGTAACAAGGGCCACTAACCCACAGAGCGTCAACCTTCAGCTTCCTGTCTGAGCCCATTAGCAGAGCCTGACTAATGCTAGCGCTAGCTTAGCTGGTGCTTCAGGGATACGGCCAACAGCAGCAGGAACCCTGAGACCAGGATCATCCCAGAGGGTCTGCGGGTTACCATGGCGTTAGAGAGGCTGGCTCAGTCTGAGCTGCAGAGGCGGACCCAGCAGGTCCCACAGGAGAACCTTCTGGGCCCGCCTCTGCAGAAGGACTGGCAGATGTTAGAGCAACGCTTCCACAGCAGCTCGCCACATGGTGGACACGTACTCAGCTGGCAGATGTCCTCCACGCTGAAGTCGCCATCTTTGAAGGTGGAGTTTTTCCTCCTGAAAGGTGAAAGAAACGAAGCTGTAACAGAGTCAACGGAGACAGATCTCAGGAGCAGACGGACCTCACCTCTGTTTCCGAACGGCTGAGAACTTCTCCGAGACGATGTGCTTCAAAAAATTGAAGCAGAAAAAGAAAATCTGAGGGAGAGAACATTTCTAGGTTAGAGATGTTTGAGCCTGCAGGACGTCAGAGCAGCATCTCTGTTCCAGAGCAGCGTTACCTCTTCCCCTTTGGAGAGACGATCCGGCAGCATGTGACTGGGAAACAAAACACACCAGTGAGACCATCAGGGTCAAACAGGGTTAAGTCATCAGCATGAGCAGCGTCTGAGGCGTCAGGTGAGGAACATCTCCACCCTGCTGGTCCGCCAGAGCCAGAGCTCTGATCTCATTCTGCTGCATCCTCTAGGAGGAGGATCTTTTTATTCTAGATCTATAGGTCCTATAAGAAGGTTTTTTCCTTAATAGAAGTTATTTTTTTCTAAAACAAAATAAAAGGAACATGGATAGAAACACTGAGGCAACGTAGCTTTCATCTTTGGTCTGCAGGGCCTCCCTGCCAGCACCCTAATCTGGATCTACCCCCACCTGGTGGACCAGGAGGAGCAACAGGAGGAGAGAATTCCCTCTGAAGGACCTCAGACCTGCGATTCAAGCGAAGGGCGGATTTTTACCCAAACAGAAACCAGTCGTAGGCGATGGTCAGGTAGAGGATCTCGGCAGGCTCCAGGCTGGCGTGAACGGCTCCATCCTGTGGAACAAACAGCATCTATAATCAGAATCTGGAAACATCTAAACATTGAAAGCCCTGGAGGATCCATACTGCGATGGAGGAGCGGAGGAAGGACTTACTGCCCACAGCGAGAGTCTGAGGAGGGAGACAAAGAGCGGCGTCCGGTCCCAGCCGGATATGCAGTGCACCAGGAGCCCGCTGTCATCTGAAACGACACAGGACCGCTAAGTGGCGCTACGGCTCAGCAGCAAGACGCTCAGAGGTTCTGGGCAGAGATCGGCCCATCCAAACGGATCAGACCAGAGCTTCTGATCTCTGGGGTCAGGCCAGTGTTGCTTCATCTTCCTCCATTTGGAGAATAAAAACAACCAAAAAACGAAGATAAAGAAAAACCAGAACGGCACTCAGAACTTTCCCAGATGGTAATCCAGCATTTAATGGATCCTTCCCCTGACTGAGGCGCAGCTTTGGTCAAAATGTCACTAAAAACCATTCTGAACCATGAACAGACACGCAGCGCTGAAGGGTTAGCCGACGAAAGCAGCGCTGAAGGGTTAGCCGATGAACGCAGCGCTGAAGGGTCAGCCGATGAACGCGGCGCTGAAGGGTTAGCCGATGAACGCAGCGCCGAAGGGTTAGCCGATGAACGCGGCGCCGAAGGGTTAGCCGATGAAACGCAGCGCTGAAGGGTTAGCCGACGAACGCAGCTCTGAAGGGTTAGCCGACGAACACAGCGCTGAAGGGTTAGACGATGAACGCAGCTCTGAAGGGTTAGCCAAAGAACGCAGCGCTGAAGGGTTAGCCGAATAACGCAGCGCTGAAGGGTTAGCCGATGAACGCAGCGCTGAAGGGTTAGCCGATGAACGAAGGGTTAGCCGACGAACGCAACGCCGAAGGGTCAGCCGACGAACGCAGGGCCAAAGGGTTAGCCGATGAACGCAGCTCTGAAGGGTCAGCTAATGAACGCAGCTCTGAAGGGTTAGCCGATGAACGCAGCGCTGAAGGGTTAGCCGATGAACGCAGCTCTGAAGGGTTAGCCGATGAACGCAGCGCTGAAGGGTTAGCCGAATAACGCAGCTCTGAAGGGTT